TGTTAATACTTTGATGAATTGATATACATACATTTTGCCTGCTCCTATATAAGTTGTGTGTTAGTGCATTATATGATAGTGCATTATCATATAATGCACATTCCATTATAAATGCTAAGTTTAAAACACATTTAATGTCTATTGTATGTAATAATTAACAAATCCTCAAGTTTAAGGGGGGAAATTTCCTTTACATTTTAATTCCAATTTCAAAGACATTTTTCTAGACCTTATCATTTTTTTTGACAGGCAGAAATTTTGGTTATTCTATTTTTGTATTCTCTGTTTATCCCTTTATGTTTTAAAAAGAATATCCAGTTCTTGTTTTACAATTGCAAATTCTTTTAATATCACTTGAATTTGTTTCCTCTAATTTCCTTTTCTCTGTTTATTTTTGTTACTATCTTTTATGTCCAGTGAAACTTTATTGTCCATATTTAAGAGGATTTTCCCAGGCCATTAGAAGGGAGCTGGATCAGAAGTGGAGCAGCCAAGACAGAAACTGGCGCTCATAGGGGATGCCAGTGTTGTGGGTGGTAGCTTTACTGACTATGCCACAGTGCTGGCCCCCAGGAAATCTTATTGGCTAGCAGGCTTCAGGATGATTGAGGCTGGCATGTCATCTGGATGCGTGATTTCAAATTACAGCCTTCTTTGTCTTGGAGACTTTCAACTCTGTAAGTAAGTGTCCTTCAGTTTTCTGCATGGGGATTATTCAGTTGGTTGTGGGTGTAGGAAAAGTGAGCAGGGATATTTTGTTATTCAGTATATAGATTTGTACTTAATCCATTTTCAGCTGTGTACTTCCTTCCCTCCTTCTATTATTATGCCTGATGTCCTAAGTCAGGAGCCTCTGGTTCCATTTCACAAGAGGTTAAACCTCCTGATGGGTGGGTTTGGGATGTCTTTAGCTGCTGGGGGTGAGGCAGGGGATGCGAGAGCCTTACTCAGCCTTCAGCTATCCCCCTTGTTTTTGTCCTAGAGCCCCATCTGAGCTTTCCACAGTAACCCTTACTTCTGATCTCAAGGCTTTCCCAGGCCCTTCAGCAGAAGCAGGATTCTCCTTTGCTGTCTCAGCCCTATAGGCAGGTGTGTTTCCCTTCTCCATTTGCTGTCCTCTTTCATGGACAGTTCCCAATGCATGCTCACCTCTCCTCTATGAGTTCATTCTTTTCTGGTTTTGTTATTGTGGATTTATACTTCTAAAAAGTTACATATGAAAAACCCCCGACAACCTCCCCCCAGGTAGGCAGAGTTTGTAGAGAGAGCAGAGGCACATGTGCAAATTCAATCCAGTATTTTAAATAGGAAGATCCAGCTCATATTTTTATTGAATTAAATTTCACAAAGGACAAATTTCTGCAATTGACTGCTAGTAATCAATAGTCTTTGGTAACAATTTTGAATTTTTAGGATGAAACGTTTAAGGATGCTCATTTTATTTTCCATTAAAATATGTATTAGCCCAGCATAGTGAATCCAGAATTTTGGATTAATTTCCTTGGATTTACTTATAACAATATGTTTGAAATGTGTTAAAAATTGGCAAAAGGCACAGAGTTTATGTGTGTTTACAAGTGTGACAGCAAGAGAAACTGATAGAAGAAAAGAATGAATCCAAAAGAAAGCAGAATATTAGATTTTGGTTGGGGAAGGGGTAGGGTTTCAGGTCATAGCCATGTCAACATTTTTAATATCATTTCTTTTTGCAGACTTAAACTTCATTTTTTTCTTTACTGTATAACCTCACAGAACATTTGTGTCCTATTAGTGTCTTAAAACACTGTCCCATTGGCACTGTGGGTCCCTTTGAATAAATGCATTTCTGGCTCTTGGGGCTGGGCTCTCTGCGCTCTCATTATCTGGCCTGCTCTCAGAAGCCTCATGGGAACCAAATGGTGAACAATAACCAGAGCAGAGATCATTTTTCAATCAAGCAACTAGAAGGGTCTGCTTTGGTTCATTAGTCCAAATAGGCTCTTTTACTTTATGAGCAGCAATCAAAAGATCCTATCCTTTAAAAAAAATTAAGTGAATTTCCTTCAATTTGGTAATGTGAATTTTTGTCCATCATGTTTTAATACCACTGTTAAGAGGTGTGAACTGAAATGAAACACACACCCCAAAATAATGGAAGGTTTTGATACAAGGCTAACTTTGGAAAAAACATATATACTTTTCTTATGTTTCCCCTTGGAGAGATTTTAATAGATGTTTCTCTACAGTTTCATCCTACTTTCATAAAACTGCCTTTCCCCCTACTACTACGTTGGAGTAATTTTTCACCTTTCTGCTAGATTTATGACTGCAATTACCAATACCATGAATTATTTTAGTGTCGAATAGCACTGCTAAGATGCTGACTCTACTTCTTTAGGAAAAAAAGATAACATCATGTTGGAGTTTTAAAATTTCTTGATCACAGAAGATACTAAAACATCAGTCAAAATTCTAGCCAAGTTTTGTCACTGACTTTTGTGCATCCATCTTCAATCATTGGAGTTTTCTGTATCTATATTATATGACACTCAACTGTATAAGGAACTCGCAATTTATTGAGTCTGACAGAAGGTGAACTTACCAGGAATAGAAATCAGGCCTTATTCATCTGTTTTCTCTTGCTTAAGTTCTTAATAATTACATAGTAAATGTTGACGGAAAAAGTTTGAAAAAAAAATACAATATAGAAGTAGTGGAAATTCTGTGAGATCCTTAAATAATTTGATATAAATTTAATATATGCAGCTTGATTCTAAAGGCAGTGTTGAGAGGAGACTCTAGGGCTGCAAGTTCTTCCCTGTAAGGTAAAAGTGTTCAGCTGATTATAGTGGTTAGATGATTAAAAGATAGGTATTTTTAATGAGCAAACCCTTTGCTCAAGTATCGGCTACAGCCAGTCTGTGTCTGAGCTATGATCTCTCTCGTTGAAGGGACTCTAGAGCACTCTGAATCACCTTCACACTCACTGCTGGTTTTCGGAGCTTGGCCGCTTTCCACATGTCTGAAAGCAACTCAGCATTAGATGTGAGAAAGATGTGCCTGGCTCTAACCTTCGGCTGGTGGAAGAAGAATGGAGAAGCAGCAGAGTTTGTTCATGGATGGCTGATATTAAAAAGAATTCTTGATTTCATAGCCAAGGGAATGAAGAGGCGTGATCCGGAATAGTATCTTCCGTTGGACTGGTTTTTGCGGACAGCTCCATCTCAAGGAGTCTCTAAGGGGCACCTGGACGTGGAAAATGTGTGAGAGGAAGAAGCAGGCAGTCCTAATGTCAGGTTTGATGATGACACTGCTGGTACTGATATCAGGTGGAAATTATGATTCGTTAAATCAGTGAGAATCACGGTTTCCCGTTTTCTTTTTGTACTTTGTGAAGGAGCCATCTTCTTTGGACCTCTCTTGCTTTCCTCTTTAAGTCACTGCTCAAGTATTTGCAAACCAAGCCAACACTTAGGTTTTACGCACTGAAGGAAAACAAAGCACCCACTAATGGATGCAGCCTGATAAACAGTGGAAAGGGCATGGGTGTCAGAGCTCTTGTGTTTAATCTCTGTTCCTCACTTACTCCTAAGCTGCCATCGACCAGTGTTTTAAATCTCTTTCCTCATCTGCGAAATGGGGTTAATGGAGGATTTCATCTGCAAAGTGGGGATAACAGAGATTAAAAGAGATGATGTGAGCACATCATACCCCCAAATAAACAGGAATTGCATTTCACAAGAATATCACGGCTGTGTGGTTACAACTAAAACTTTTCTCTTGCTGTCAGAAATGCCTTCGGTAGATTCCAAATTCTTTTCCCCACTGCCTGCTCTTCGTTGGTGGGGCTCCAGCAACGCTGCGGTATCTCGGGGATACATGGCTGCAATTTGGGTTCGGTTTCCTTTCTCAAGGGTTCACTTACGACGCCTGTTTAGAGAAGGCACAAAAGTACAAAGCAAAAATTTCAGCATATGCCATCAAATCTTGGAAAATCATCTAAAGGAAGGACTGCCGCTGAGGAAGGAAAACAGCTTTTTCTGGGCATCATTTCTGCTTTTCTGGAAAAAAAAAAAAAAGCCCGATGTTGCAATATTTTTCAAGGCAGAATATTGTCCCAGATGGAGGAGGAAACCCTGACATGCAGAAAAGGGCAGACGCGGGGTTCCGAGGCCGTGTCAGCAGCGGGCGAAGTGTGGGTCACTCAGGACCCCACAGTTCTTTGTTGGGGGCGAGGGTCCTTTTTCGGTGGACGAAATGACACCCCCTCCGAGGGGTCCCTGGTCGGAAACGGCTCCGCGCCCCTCCCTGTCCTTGCGGACCCACAGCGCGGTTGGACTGCGGTGCCTTTAAGACTTTTGCTTGCTGCACATGCTCAGCTCTTTGTGTGTAGTTGGAGTTTTTCTCTTTTAAGAAAAAAAAAAAATAGGCAGGAGGAAGGGGGTTGGGGAAGCGCTGGGCTAAAAGCGCTGCACTTTTGCAGCTGCAGACAGCGGACGGGAAGGGCTTCTTTCCGCGTCTCTACCCTGTTCGTGGGGGGCTCCCGAGGCCAGCGGAGCGAGTGGGGCGGGGCGCCCCGCGCGCCTGGGGAAGGGCACGGCGGACACGGACACGCGGGCCGCACCTGGGGGGCCAGGCTCCCCTCAGCGCGAGTGGGCGCGCGCGCGCGGTGGGGGGAGTCCCCGGTCCCTGTCAGGGGCGGGGCGAGACCACGGGGCTGAGGTGTGGGGGGGGAAAGCGAGTGTTGGGGGGCCGGCCCAGCGCACCACCCGCCGCAGCTCCGGTGCAGCTGAGCGGCGCAGGAGGGAAGATGGATGTTGGGGTGCCGCTGGCCGCCTGGCACGCAGCGCGAGGCTGACCGCCGCTCCACGTCCCCCGCGGCCCGCGTTGGGCGCGCCCAGCTCGGGGGCTCCCGCACGGCGCTCGCTCGGGCCGAGGCAGTTGGCGCGGGCCGCGGGCGAGGCGGGGCCGCGCGCGGGCCTCCTCCCCCTCCCCGTCCCCCTCCCCGTCAGGTCCTCTCCCGAGCGAGCGCCGGGGCGCAGGCTGCGCCTCTCGCTCCCCGCCTCGGGCCGCCTCAGGGGCGCCTCGGCTGTGAGGTGAGCCTGCCGAGGACAAGGTCAGGAGACCGGGCGGGCGGCGATGCCTGAGTGCGACCGGGGGCAGCCGAGCGGAGGCGACGGCGCTTGGGATCTGTCCCTGCTGACCGGGGAGCGGGACTGGGGCAGGCGCCGGTGAGGAGCAGCGGCGGCGGCGGCGGCGGCGGCGAGCTCTTCTCCGGCCGGAATCCCCCCTCAGCATCCCAGGCAGCGGCGGGGGCGCTGGGGAAGATGGAGCCGGGGGTCCGGGCCCGCGCTGGCCCCTCGCAGCCGGCGGCCCCGGGGCTGTGGAGGGCTCGGCCGGCGGGCGGCGGGGGCGGCGGCGGCAGCGGCGGCGGGGGCGCCTCCTCCTGGCTGCTGGACGGGAACAGCTGGCTGCTCTGCTATGGCTTCCTCTACCTGGCGCTCTACGCGCAGGTGTCCCAGTCCAAGCCGTGCGAGAGGACCGGCTCCTGCTTCTCGGGCCGCTGTGTCAACGCCACCTGCCTCTGCGACCCAGGCTGGGTGGGGGACCAGTGCCAGCACTGCCAGGGCAGGTTCAAGTAAGTGCCTTCGCCGGACCTTGCACGGCAGCCCTGTCCCGTCTGGGTCGTGGCCTCGGGTCCCCGGGAGGGGGAGTGCACCGCGGGGTGGGGGTCTGCGCTGCGCCCCTCGGACCGCGCCGGTCCGTCGCTGAGCGACTTGGAGCGAAGCCTTTGGCTAGCGTCCTAGATGTCCGCAGCCACTTCCGATTCCCTGCTCGGCCGCGGCGTTTTCCCACTCAGTTACAGCGCCGGGCACCGTTTCGTTAGGACCTTGTATTAGAATCAGAAATCTTGCGGACAGCTCAAAAAATACATGCGCACGGGGAACAGTTCAGATGCGGAGGTGTCAAGGCTGGAAGTTAGCACCTCCCTCTTCCCCATCCTACTCCCAGAGGTGACCAGTGCTAGCTAAGAATCTGGTACGTTTGTAAGCACAGTGATCGTAGTACGTAGCGTTTATGATCGTCTTGCTCTGTGCCAGACGCTGTTCTAAGCGCTTTACCTGGATTATCGCATTTGTTCCTCAGAACAACTCTGAGACTTACTAGAATTATCCTGTGGGATTTACAGAGGGAAATTGAGGCGAAGCATTGGAGTAACGTCCAGAGTTACCCAGTAGGGACGGCTGTGGGATTCCAGATCAGCCAGCTTTACGCCAAAGGCTGTACTTTTAGTGACTATGTTATGTTGCACTTGCTAGGGCAATATTAAATTGGGACTGGACTGGATGACCATGGGTTAGATGAAAAGGATGACATGCCTGGACTGTCTTATGTGGGGAAGACAATGGATGTTTCTAACAATTAGCTATTGTGTGGAAGTGTTACTTGGGTTTTTCTGATGCTGGAGGTGCTAAGGGATTTGCTGGACCAAGTGAAGATACTTTTCTCCCTGGTGGTTGATGTTTGTTAGATTCCAACCTGATATAAAAAAAATGGGTGTGCATCCGGAACAGCAGATAAGATGGTTGAGGCCAGTAGGAAGTTGTTGCTTTCTGACAACTTGCAGACAAGTCCTTAAGAAAGTTAGCTTCTCAGTCCTCTAGATTCTCCATATCAAGTTTGCTGGCGGGTTTGTGGTTCAGAAGTTGCACCAGGTCATTGTCAGGATGATAGCAAAATCTAAGCGCGATGTCTCTTGGACTTTAAGGCAAGGTGAGAATATGGTTTACCTTACCAGTATATTCTAGGACAATTTTCTTGGAATTTTACACAGTATAATTCTTTTAAAACTTTTTTTTTTGTTTTACTCCTTCTGGTTACAACAGTGCTGGTAAAACTCAATGTAAAAATATATCTGTAAAATGGAACTTTAAAATTTTAGGTAAATTGTATTGTTTGATTCATAGCAGGTTTTTGGAAGTATAATCTCTACTTTTATTGAAACTTATTTGTAGCAATAGGTTGAAATAGTTCCAGAGTTCATGCTTTAACTAGTTCTGAAGTTTAAAAAAAATTTTTTTTTAAATTTGAAGAGATGCTAATTAATGTTTAAAAAGTGTTTTAAGGCAAGAAAAGAGATCTTAATTGGATTGTGCTTGTTAGGGTCCCCCCCCCTTTTTTTTTTAACATAAATGTTTTTAAACTTTTGCTGCGAGAGTACTCTCTGGCCTCTTAACCTAGCAAGAAACTTAAAACATATGAAGTGGCAGCCATCAGTGAAAAAAGCTACATGCGTGTTTCACATCATTATATACATAAATAGGAAGATTGCATGATTCATGCAAAATTTAGGGATATTGACTTTTGTGTGGGTGGATTTGCTTCATTTGTCTAAAACAGACGAAACTGCTGCACTCCTGGGAAGCTTGTGGACCATCTACACTTTGTAGTAGTGGAGCTTCTTGATCAGCTGCATCAGCAGCCTGTGACCTCACTAGCAGATGTTGTCCCAATTAGTAAGAAAGACCACAGATCAAGTTAAAAGTAGCTTAAATAACAATGAGCAATGGTGTTCATAAACAAAACACATTAGTGAGTTAAAGACTAGGTTTTAATGTAGACATAGTTTAATAATAAATCCTGAACTAATCATCATTGGGTATTAATTTCCTTGGGAGTTGTTATTTCCTATGATTCATTACACTCTTTTGGTAAATGCTTTTTCAATTCTCTGTGGAATACAGACTATTAATTAGAGTAAATATATACACACACATATATATATATAGCTGGTACACTATATATGTTTTGCTATATTTTTAGGGGCACCGTGGTATTTAATAATAAAAAGAATCATATTTAGAAGGAAAGAATTCTTACTGGTAAAGTGCATGCTAAGCTGTGAAAGGTTTATTTGAAGATGGTGGCTTGTTTTACTGTGAGTTAGAAGTAATAACACAGTAGGAGAGACTTTAGAAATTCTCACTTCACTAATTATCTTGAAAATCTTTTACCAAACTGCAGGATAGCAGTCTTACAAACAGACATCAAAAATGATTGATCAATCTTGGTAAGCAGGTGTCAAAATTAATTGGTTGGTTCCATGGTAACTTAGCTTTTTTCTACTATAGGGGTTCCACTAGGGAATAAAAGTATTCTTCAAATGCCTCTTTAGAATGGAAGATTGATGGTGGGGGAAGAACTGCATAAGCAAATATGGTATCAGAAGTGTACTTCAGTTCTCTTAGCATTGATTCCAGTCTTCTGTTTCCATTTGAAAAGAATAAAACACTCAGAATTACAAGCTGTTCCTCATACAGGTAAAACAAACCATACATTGATCTTCAGCTCAAGCTAGACTAAAGGACTCGGGACTGAGAATCAGAGAGGACAGTGCCAACTCCAAATATAATAATCAAGGTTATAATAGACTAATTCAAATTGTATTTATTTTGGATAGTTTAATACAGTGTTAGAATAGAGAATGTTTTGCTATAATCTATTTGAATGAATGACATTCTCTTCTGGAAGCTAGTTCTTAAGAACTATTTACGTAGAGTAACTGGTTTGTGTGTATGTACTTTTTTTTTTTTTAATGTTCAGACTTGAATGGTTTCTTGTTACTATGACTTTGAACCTTTGACTTCTGATTTCTCTTAGGGAGACATAACCTGAATTAATGCCCTAAGGTTGTGAAATATCTTACTATATTGTGAATTATTTGTAAATGTAGATTTGTTTTTGAATCTTTTCCAAAATTCGTCAGTTGACTTATATTCAGTGTATATGGATAACCTTTTAGGTTAGTTGAATGTGGGTACTGAATTTCATGCATTTGTCATGGAAGTACTCTAGTTACAACAAAATGAAGATATAATTTCAGGAATTAGGTTGCTGTTATAAATAAAAAGTTGCAGGATTGTGTAAATATTTTTCTTAAGCTACTTTTTTAGAAACTTACGCACATATATATGTATGTATTTAGAATTCTTATCATTAGTTGCAGGGAAACTATCAAACTGTAAAGTTAAATTGAATGCTCTTTGTCCGTAAGTCTTCTTTATTTCAAATATTGCAATGTAATGAATAACTTATAGCCATGGATTCTTTTTTCATTATTAAGATACATACTCATATGGTAGGAATTCACAGCAATTTAGAATGACTGTTTCTAAGATCCTACATTGATAAAGTAGGCTAATTTTAGTAACATGACTTTTTTTTTAAAGATTTATTTATTTATTTGAAAGGCAGAGTTACAGAGAGGCAGAGGGAGAGAGAGAATCTTCCATCTGCTGATTCACTCCCCAAGTGGCTATGATGGCCAGAGCTGGGCTGATCTGAAGCCAGGAGCCAGGAGCTTCTTCCAGGTCTCCAAAGTGTGTGCAGTGCCACAAGGACTTGGGCCATCTTCTACTGCTTTCCCAGGTGCTTCAGCAGGAAGCTGGATGGGAAGTGGAGTAGTAGGGACTCAAACTGGTACCATACGGGATGCCTGCTGTGCCACACCCTGGTCCCAGTACCATGTTTTTTAAGAATAGATGTTTCTGGGCTGGTGCTGTGGCGCTTGTAGTGCTGGCATCCCATATGGGCCCCAGTTCTAGTCCCTGCTGTTCTACTTCCAATCTGGCTCTCTGTTATGGCCTGGGAAAGCAGTATATGACCCAAGCGCTTGGGCTGCTGAACCGGGTGGGAGGCCTGGAGGAAGCTCCTGGCTCCTTGGCTTCAGATCGGCTCAGCTTCACCCATTGTGGCCATTTGGGGAGTCTCTCTCTCTGACTGTCTGTAACTCTACCTCTCAAATAAAAAAATAAGTTGGACTTTTAAAATTCTTGAAAGTGACACATATATTCCTTTTGGCGTCAGGATATTTTGCCTCTTTTATTAGTCCTCTCTCCTATCTGGTCTTTGCTGGGATAATTTCTGATCATCCTTCTAAGCTTAAATACTGGTTTCTAAAGGAGGCTTTTCTTTTTTTTAATTAATTAATTAATTAAATTTTTATTTAATGAATGCATTTTTACATAGATACAACTTTACTGTGGGTCTTTCCCCCATGTGCCCCACCCCGCTCTCCTTTCACCTCCCATTCCCTCTCCCATCTTAAAGGAGGCTTTTCTGATAACTCAGTCTAACTTACCCCTTACTGACTGTATTTTATACTCTTTTTTTTTTTAAGATTTATTTACTTATTTTAAAGAAAGTTATAAAGAAAGGGAGATCCAGCCAGAGAGAGAGAGAGCTTCCATCCACTGGTTCACTCTCCAGATGGCCACAACAGCTGAAGCTGAGCCAGGCTGAAGCTAGGAGCTTCTAACAGGTCTCCCGCATGGGTGCAGTAGCCCAAGCACTTGGGCCATTCTCTGCTGCTTTCCCAGGCACATTAGCAGGGAGCTGGATCAGAAGTGGAGCAGTTAGGACTCGAATGAGTACCCATATGGGCTGCTGGCGCCACAGACAGCAGCTTTACCCACTATGCTGCAGTAGCAACTCCCCTATTGGATACTGTTACAGCACATTTTTCCTTCTTAGAACTTTTGGGATGAAGTATTTAATTGAGATTTTTTTCCCGTTTATTTTAAAGAGCATTATTCAGGTGTAATTGACATACAATGAACTATGCAATTTAAAAGGTAT